CTCATATACACTAAGAATTTTAAGTGCAAGAATTACACTCTAATAAAAGATAAACAAATCACAATACTGTGTCGTGTCTTGAAGGATAGGAGCCTCTAAACAAGTTTAAAAACAACCTAGTGCTCTGAAATGGAACTTGAGGGAGAAACGAATTTGTACAATCCTTTTTCATGAAAATAACAATTATAATGAAACTAATTTGAAAGTTACGGCCCATCTAAAGCTATATGCAATAAAATAAACAACATATGATATACCAATTTACCCATTTGTTTTAAAATGATTTAAATTCAATTTAATTAAACAAATTTATTTAAATTCTATGTATATATATACAAGATTTTTAAAAATATTTCTTATGATTTATCTATTACAAAAATTAATCAAGTCAGTGGTCTTACCTCAAGTTAACAACAGAAGAAGTATGAGGTATGCCATTGCAAAATGCTTTTGCCAAAGTCAGACTATTCTTATTTAGGTCAATAATTTTACCTTGGTAAGCAAGATCATCGATACACTTCACCGAAACTGTACAACCCAAAAACTGCTCAGACATTCTGCTTAAAACTAAAACAAAAGTTACATGCTTTCATAACTATCATAATACAAATTATATCTCAATCATGATGTAAGGTCTTTTTACAGCACGATTTACATCTCGATTACAATACTACTAATCATATTCAGCAAAATTCATACATAATCATAAATTTTATATTAGAAATACAATTGTTATGAATGAATCAATATGCATGTTATTTCAGTATACTTTCGAGAGCAGTATCAACATATTGCAATCAACAAGAATAATAGGAACTTTCCAACAAGCGACACTGTGCAACACAGGGATCACCTCATCCTTGTTTAACATTGGCGAACAACAAAGGATGCAACGATTCACCGTGTCATTCTGTGTCTCTTATTGGAAAGCTCCCAATGAAAATTGTAATAGCTAATGGAACCATAAAAGTATCTATATATTAATACAAAACAGTATGTGTTAATATAAGGCTACTTCTTTTAAAAATTTAAGAATAATGTTAATAAGTATGTAACGCGTTAATAAATAAAAATAAATACATTTAAACGTAGAAGCAGGAGCACGATAGTCACCAGTTTTTAACATCATTGAAGAAAAAAGCTCAACTTTCAAGTTACTTATATTAGGTTAAAAGCGGTATGACATTACTGGAAGAACTGTACCAAATATTCACATACCTGAGTCGATGCCGATGTAAATAAAGGAAATCAAACAAGGGGAAAACAAACCGCGCAGCAGCTAGCGATAACTTAATTGTTACGCACTATTTCCACGATTTGGCGTGCGACATCGAAACGAATCACCACCCCGTATGTCGGGATTGTAGGGTCGACTCGCGTATATTGCAGTATATTCGTATATTGTCATTGTGTGCGCGACTGCAGAGACCGTCATGTTCTTCGCGTTTAGCTCTGACAGTGAAAATCTTTGAACATTTTTCGTCATGTAAATATTCGTAAGATCTTGCGAGCAAATTTGTAATTATAAACTATTATTATAAACAAAAATTATATGAGCTCAAAAATGTAAATATTCTTGTGTCGAATCGACCGTCATCGGTCGGTAATTCAATACCAGGGTTGTCGCCGATCAAGAAAAGAATTTATCAAAACCTTTTGCTTGAACATTCACCAAAATTGCTCCTAAAATTCATTAAATTATCAATCATAATATAATAGCGATAATATATAATATAATAATATAATATCAGGGTTGACTAGTGCTAAATTAAAAAGATAAAAGTTAAGTTAAAAAGTTAAAAAGTTAATTAATTTTAACTTAACTTAGTTACATTTTAGACTTTTAACTTTTTAACTTAATTTAGTTACATTTTATCGTTAACTATTAACTTTTAATTTGATTTCTTTTAAATTAATCCCCAGACACAATTCGAGAGGATAATGAGTATATAATTTAATAATTTTATATTGTATAATCGTTACTTATATGAACAAAAATAACCAGATTCTTTAATAAATATGCTGTGAAAAAGGAAAAACACGAAAAATTATGTAAAATGATTAAACTATTTCTCTTTTTTTCTTTTTTGTTGTCCGTTCGGACCAAATTTAACTTTTAACTTTTCAATTATTTTTTTTATTAACTTAACTTTTAATTCAATTAATTTCATTATGGATTAACTTCTATATATATTTTAATTAAGTTAAATTTTCAAGGCTGTTAACTTTAACTTAACTTAATTAAAAAAAAAAGTTAACTTACTCAACCCTGAATAATATACATATAATATGTAATAAAAAAAAAATAGCAAAGAGAAGCCTGATAGACCACTGACAAGATAGCAGACAAATTGTATATTTCTGATTTATTTATGTCCCAAATTATTTCCCAAATGTTTTTCCCAAATTTCCTCAAACGATTCCTAAATTATATAGACATAAATAAATCAGAAATATTCAATTTGTCTGCTATCTTGACAGTGGTCCATTTTTTCTGTAGCTCTCTACTATTTTATCGACATTGGCAATTTTATCAACAATGTCAGAAAAATGGATGTAGCCACGTAGTACCAAATAAAAAATGGATGTACTGGCATTAGTGTACGGGTGATTTCGCCGGTGCCACGAAAAACGCCGAAATGACCTTTTTCAGATTTCTCTTTGACATATATGATATGTACATTTAAGATCGCTATTGTACGTGATAAAAACAAATCGGTAGAGTATAAACAGAGAGAAACCTGAGGGCTTTTTTTCTGTAACCGCAAACTCTCGCCGCGCACTACTACCCTCTGAAGAAGTAGATGTAAACTACACAACTATATCCATTATAATTTTATTGTAAATAAATGTATGTATAATAATTAGGTATGTATTAAATATAAAATTTATGTAAACTATCAAGATATGCTATCATATTTACTTTTATAATTTGCTCAATAATTGCTAATAAATTATACATTTATTGGAATATGTATATATCCATATTGAATATCTATTCAATACAGATAGCATTTATCTTGTCGTAGTAAACTAAATTGTTGCTTCATTTATGTAAATTATACGGAATCGACAAAACATATGATAACAAAAATTGTTTATTGATTTAACAAGTTTGATAAATATTTAATTTTGAAACTTTTTTTTAGTTTAGATTTTATTTTGAATATCATTAATAATTTTGATTGACTTCTAATTAAAACTTTGATGTTTAGAACAATCATCAATTTTTCTTCGTATTTAGTATATAAATTTATTAAATAAGTCAGCAAATATTGGAGCTTTGACTGAGGCAATGGTTAAATATTAACTTTTTGCTCGCGAAATTTTTGACGTTACACTCTCGCCCTCAGATAGATGCCAGTGAATGCTTGATTCGGACCGATAAGAAGTCGAAACTATTTTCATTATAGAAAATTATTCTTCGTTGCTTTTCATGAAGTCCATTTGTGTTATCGTATGCTTTTTCGACGTTTCGGTATAACCCGCATTAATAAATTTTGTTAATTATGCTCCTATAATTTTTATTATATTTCGAACAGCATTTATAATTGTACATTGTACTATAAACAATTATTATTGTATTACTGAATGTATAAAGGATTACAATAAAAGATAGTATTAAAAAAATTATGCAATATGATTTTATCGTATTTCGCTAATCATAATGCAATATAATTAGCGAGAAATACAATAAAATAATTAGACATAAAAATAAAAAATAAATTTTTAATATACTTATCTGCAAAAACGGACTACTAAATTTATTAGTAGCCCGTTTTTTTACGAGTGAGTATTCTTATAAAGAAAAGAGGACCGCCGATAAAATCGGCGGGGGGGGGGGGGGGAGTGGTGGGCCTCTAGCTCGTTTTTGCTAAATTAAACCTTAAATTGACGATATATTATTTCAAAAGTTTGAAGTGTATTCAAAGTCTTTATAATTGCTAATGATTACAGAGACTTTGGAATATACTTACATATTAGTAAGTATGTTTGGTAAAAACGGGCTGAAAATCTGCATTTTTTAAAAAAACATAATTTCATATAATTTCATTTTTATTCAAGCGCATATTATAAAGACAAAATTCGCTAAAATAAATTAACTTGTTTGAACATTCAGTTTCGAGTTTCTTAATATTCGACAACTTTTATTTTCACGGTAGGAGATGCGAAATTGAAATTTTCGTTTAAGGATCCATTAATAAACATTGTATCATTAAAAGATTTATTAAATAAAAACGTAAAGATTGTTACTGCAGAACCAGAATTCGGATTTTCTTGAAATATACACGAATTTTGTGTTATGATATGCATTTTGTATACTAGATATCTTATATATAAAAGCAAAAATGTTATAAAAATTTATAAGCAATTTTTGTATTTTATATTTTATAGTATAGTGAAGAATACAATCAAAAAATCGTGAACATTACCGACGGGATCGTGGACATTGGCTATGTAGTTTAATGTCCATGTTTTGTGGACATAGAGGCGCTTCAAAATAAGGTTGCAGCTAAATCCCGGGTATGGCCGCTCTCAGGCTTCTCTCTGATAATAGTAATATATTAGCAATCATATTTCAAATCGTATTTTGGATAGTTTCACAAGATATTCTTAAAACTTTAAAAAACATTATCATAAAAATGACATCTTATTTAAGAACATCACAATTTTAAAATGTCCAATATTTCTTGCTGCAGAGAGAAACCTGAGTGGTGTCCAAAAATAGTACAGGGAAAATGGTTCTGCGGCTCTATTCTTGAAAAGAAACGTATACGAAAAACTAGGAAAATACTATAATATACGTAACATATACTGTAGTATTTTCCTAGACTTTCGTATACGTTTCTCTTCAAGAATAGACCCTCCCCCAGAACATTTGCAGAAGATTGCAGAATTTGCCGCTGAGTGGCGCGTCAGTTGGCGAGAATATTCACATACTCTTCTACGTTGTTCAAAGTGTTGTACGTAAAACATATTTAGATAATTACGGTAGTGTATAAAACATGGCGGACTCGGCAGGAAATTGGTGTCTCATTGAGAGCGATCCTGGCGTTTTTACAGAATTGATTAAAGAATTCGGCAAGTATATTTCTAATTTTCATTCTCTGTACTCATAGTGCGTTCTTTGTTTGCAATATTTTTAGCGTTACTTGAATTAGGCAAAGTTCTAATGGAAAGTATTTGTCATGCCTGAAAACTAGTAAGAACCACATAAATATACATATATACATACACATGTACAAAAATACATAGCATATAAATATATATACATTTGTATGTATGTATATAGACACTTACATATATAAAATTGAATTCATAATTACTTTATAATCAAGCTATAAATAATTATATAATATAAATATTTATAATAGCTTGATTCTAAATTGTGACTATCAAGCCTCACAGAATAGGCGAATTTTTTTAATTCATCGATTAATCAATCGCACTGTGCACAAATGTAATTTTGTTCCGTAAAAGCTGCATTTGCGCATAATAGGATTGATCAATCGATGAATTAAAAAACTCGCCTACTCTTTGCAACATTTTTTAAATAATTTCTTCAATTATTGTATCAATATATTATATCTTGTAAAATCATGTCTACTATTAAATGGAATGTTATATATATTGCTGTATTTGTATAGGGGTCAAAGGTGCACAAGTGGAAGAATTATGGAGTTTGGATGATGAACAATTCAATGATTTGATGTAAGCTTATTTTGTGTAATATTAACTCTGTAATTTTTGTTATTTGAAAGACATTTGTACATGAAAGATATATTCTTGATAATTAATCTTTTCGCATATTTGTTTTTTCTTCAGAATGTTTTCATATGTACTTAATTTCTTTTACATATACAAGATAAGAAAAATATACATAGGTATAAAAAATAATAAATTGTGTATGACATTGATTTAGACAATATTAATATCTTAGTAGATTAATTTTTATGTGTAAATTTTTTTAGTTTGTTACAATTTCTTTTTCTTTTAGGCCTATTCATGGTTTAATATTTTTATTCAAATGGGTACAAGATGATGAATTATCAGGGAATATTGTACAAGATAACAGATTGGACAAAATATTCTTTGCAAAACAGGTACGTAAAGTATAAAATGGATATCTTAAATAGATATATTGCTTACCTGGAAATAGATAATTAAATCATTTTAATAGTAAATTAAATATAATTGTTATTAATTAATCTTGGTATGTTATAAAAATGGAAAAGATTTAATTAGAATATATCAGAATATTTGGAACATAGAAAAAAATAATATAAATTATTTTATTATTTTATTGAATCTATATTTTGAGATAATTAACAGATATTGATTCATGTAGAATTTGTTGAATATAAAAAATTTTTAATGTTTAAAAAGATAACATTTAATTTAGGTAATAAATAATGCTTGTGCGACCCAAGCAATATTGAGTGTTTTATTAAACTGTAAGCATGCAGATATATCTCTTGGACCAAACTTAGAAGAATTTAAAAATTTCTGTCAAAGCTTTGATGCAAATATGCGTGGACTTGCACTTAGTAATTCTGATGTTATAAGGGAAGTACATAATTCTTTCTCCAGGTATTTTATATTACATATATACTTTTTAACTACTAAATATTGTTTATGTTAAAAGAAAATTTATTATACACCAAAATTTTAGACAAACATTATTTGAATATGACTCAAAACAGGCATCTAAAGATGATGATGTGTTTCATTTTGTGAGTTATGTTCCAATTGATGGTCGTTTGTACGAATTAGATGGATTGAAAGATGGGCCAATTGATTTGGGTCCGTGTTCAGTAGGAAAACAATGGGTACAAGCTGCAAAACCTATAATTCAAAAACGGATAAAAAAGTTAGTTACAAAATGTAGCTTTCTCAATAACTTGTGTGTGTGCGTGTGCGTGTGTATACAGGGTGTTTCTTAAATAGCGGACACATATAGCGCTATTCCTGATTAAAAATTGAGTCGAAAAGTCCTCTACCATTTTGCAATTTTCGCAATGATGGATGAAATATTAATTTCTAAAGATTGCCGAGTAAGCGATTGTCGAATCACATAATGCTATTCCTTATAAAAAATTGAATCAAAAAGTCTTCTACTTTTTTTCAATTTTCGTGATAGTTAATGGTTGAGCAGCCGGTTATGGGCTTATTTAGCAATATTTAGAAATTAATATTTTATCAACCATTGCGAAAATTACAAAATTGTAGAGGACTTTTCGACTCAATTTTCAATGGAGGAATAATGCTATACGATTAGTGTCCACTATTTAAGAAACCCTGTATATACACATATATACATGTATATATTTTTAATATTATATATTGCTTATCAAGTATAAAAATCAAAATTATTATTAAACAGGTATAACGAAGGCGAGATTCATTTCAATTTAATGGCTATAGTGACAGACAGAAAAACTTTATATGAAAGGCAGAAGGCCAATATTTGTGATCCTGAAGAATTAGAACGTCTGCAAGCTTTAATTGAGGAAGAGATTAGAAAATCGAAGAGATATCAAATAGAGAATATCAGAAGAAAGCATAATTATTTACCGCTTATCATGGAACTTTTGAAGATTCTTGCTAAAGAAGGCAAACTTGTGTCTTTGTATCAAAAAGCAAAAGAGAAAACACTTGAAAAGGAGTCAAAGAAAAATAAAGTTTAAATTTAAACGAAACTAAGAGAAAGGCCAATTTAAATTGTTTAATATATTTGGTATTGATTTGATTTGTATATTGTAGCCGAGAGAAAAGAATTTATTGTATCAATCTTTTTAAAAATAAAACTTATTTCTACTTGTAATAAAATCTTTATAAAATAATTTTAAATAATACATTTAAGAGTAATACAGTGTGTCATATGTTTGTATTAATTTGACATTATCTATTTGAAGTACACGATAAAATTATGCATTGTATAATTTAGATATAAAAAGATAAATAGTATAATTGTGCATAATACATACTTTTTTTATACAAATCAACTACCGATAGAATTAATATCACTAGTTACTAGTTTCTGTATTTAGCAAAGAAATTTTTCCATTTTCATAGATAATTCTAGGTAAGAATTTATCGGTGTATGCATTTTTAATTTTAGGAATCTTAGTATGATATAGGTGTTCCACAACATCTGTAACACAAAAATTGACACATTAACGTATACATAACATATACATGAATACAAATTATATTTACAAATATAGTTTAGATATTTTGTTACCGGCGAAATTATTCGTATCAGTCATATTGCATTCTTGAACAAGATAAAAAAAAACTTTGCAAAGGAATACCGCAGTTGCTCCGTCAAAGTGTTGTGCAACATTAGGCCATATAATTTCGCGAGTATTGGATATTCCTTTTGAATACATACTGCAAAAATAAATATATGCGTTTGTATATAGTGCGATCCAACAAAATTTGTTATCTGTTAAAACCAATCTAAATGATACTCAATACATGTATTGTACTACATTAACAGTTATAGAATGTAATGATATTTACTATTCAATTAATTGTATCTTAATGTCGTTTAAATAAATAGGACCCATGCTGAATAATTGCAGATGTAACTGGTGTTGCCAAAATGTTCTTAAAGCACTCTCGCGTATGTTAAGTTTTTCCTCCATTTTTTGCCACACTGGTTTAGGAAACTTGGCATCTTTAAGTTCTTTTATATCTTTACTTACTGTCACACTAAGTAAAGTTTTTATAAATATCTTGATTAGTGGTAATGTCCATTTAACATCAACTAGCACTGTAATTAAACAGATTTGATAGTACACAGATATGAATACATTAAGCATCTAGAAATATAAACAATATTTAATGGCGAAAGAACATATCGCTTTTTTACTTCAAAAATGATATAATTCAAAAAACATGATCTTCAAGTTATTACTATGAATGTGTTAAGGAAATATTACCTCATCAGTATGAAGCGTGAATTAATTTAACTTTATAAAAAGTTGAAAAATTGTGACAATTTAAGAAGAATGGTTCTTTAAGGATTGTGAAATAAAAGCAACAAAAATGATAATTGATCATGTTAAAAATATGTTCTTTTTGCCGATATTATTTAATAATTTTCTGTTAAGTTAACAAAGTTTTTCCTCCTTTTTTGGAAAACTTAATTTCTTAAGTTATCACTTTTGAAGTGGAGAGCTAATATCATGAAAGTTACTTACGTTCCGTTTCTGATTTATTTAGAGTTTGATTTTTGAGATATTGATATCGTTTAAAAACCGACCGGCCAGTTCGTCTTAGTAATTTTGCTAATTCACTATATTTGGTATAACGTTTATCAAGATGTTCATTTTCTATGTACGTTAAAATTTTCTTATCTTCCCTAGTAGTATAACTGTAACATAAAAATCATATGTGAATACAAATTAAAATGATTTGATGATCAATTCAAGCCTGATTTGAAATTTTTGTATCTTACCGACTGTAAGTGATTTTATTACAATATAATACTTTAAATCTAGAATAAACACTGTAGAGAGTTCGCCAAGGTAATTCATTTGCCAAAAATTGAACGAATTTTTGTCTTTCTTCTATGTCATTTATATAATATCTGCCATTGTGTCTCCAATAAAGAAATGGCATCGGATTTTTTGGATCCCAGTCATGGTGCTGTATATCACATGTTACATGGAAAAATATATTAATACAATAACGTAATTATATCATCCTATGATATTGTAGTATCTCACATTTTGAATATTTTCGCTCTCAAGTTTAGGGGATTCTGAAGAACATTAGAAGGAAGTTTCTGAGTAATGGTTAAAGCGAGGACTGTCATCTTATCGTTTTAAATATATATAAGTCTGCCAAACGATCGGTATTTTTTCATTAGACATAAGGCTACCTCAAACATTACAGATAATTTATTTTTTTATTTATTATTTATTTTAAATACTTAAAATATACCTTGCAGAATGTCTTCCAGTTTTTCCTGATAATTTTGTCCTCTATAGGTCTGTATGAACCTTTTCGGATTAGTCCATATTTCTGAAATAATCTTTTCTCTACCTTTGTTGGTGCATGAGATCCAGAAAGCTCTATTTTATGTTGTGGTGGTACTTTATGTATCAATTTTATATGTAGTTCTAGTAGTTTCTGAAATATAAAATAATTAGTTTTTACAAGATGAATAAATTATATATAATATTTAAAATATAAAAACAATCAAAATTAATCAAAATAATGAAATTAAAGGCTACGAGCTAATAAAGTTATAACAATTATATGTATAACCGTTCGATTATTTGACACAGCAAAACAAATTATCAAATAAAATGACCAATAAATGAGCAAAGATGTTAAATTAACAATAAAGTTAATTTAATAAAATGAATTCATGTAACAATAATTAATTATAAACGTTTCTACAGAAATTCATAACTTTATTGATAATTTATAACAGATGTTTTGACTTATATCGGATCATTATCAATGTTGCAAACTCTAATCACTAGTATGTTAAAAGATTAGAACCACAAGTAAAATAATTGAAAAAGTATTCATTTATAATAAATTATTGTTAAAGTAATGAATTTCTATATAGAAATGTTTACAATTAATTATTGTTACATGAATTTATTTTAAATTAACTTTATTGGCTCATAGCTCTTAATTTCATTTTGATTTATTATCTATGAGCCATTTGCTTATCTTGTTATTATAATCAAAATTAACCTTTATGTTAATTAATGGCATTTCTTCAAATTCTTCAAAATTATTCAACTCTTTTAAAACACGTTTCTCTTCCATATTCAACTTATGTTTATCTTTTTTAAAATGATATTCAGATTTTTGCCTTTTAATTTGAGATTGTGATCTTGTTTCAATTCTACGTTTTTTGCGAGACATTGAATATGAATCTGCAAGTGTATCGGTATCTTTCTTTTCACAATCACTAATAGAAAGAGGATCTGTCACTGGATCCTTATTCATCCCTTCATCATCTTGTGTAGTATTCATTATCGTTGATAAAAAGGTATCTCTACAATTTTCAAACTTTATTACAGAATCTAAATCATGTAACAGATCAATACTCTCAAAGTCTTCTGTATTGTATAATTCTGATTTGGAGATATTAGAATCACTATTTGCACTAATTGTTCTCTTTCTTTGTGAACATATATCTGTTTGAGCTGTGTCCACAGAGTTCGCACGTTTGTTTAACTTTTTAAATACTGGACTTTTAAATAACGAATTCTTCAACAAGCTTTGATTAAATAGGTATATGTTCTTATGAGGGCTGTTTGTATTTTTGTTTATATATTTTATTGGATTGTTAAAGTCTTGCGTTAAAATCTTATCTTTGTCAGGTGTACTGTGTACATTTCCTACGTTGGTAAATACTATATCGTTGGTCGTCTCTGATTCTAAATAGCTTGGCAGCTTATCTTTACAGGAGTTTTTAATTTCTTCATTTTTATGTTTATCTACAATCACTGTTGCATTTAATATCTCAGCCATTAAAATTTTCTTTTCCTTGTTTCTCTTTATAATGCAACTGATTAAAATAATTGTACACTATATATTAAGTAAATGATATATCTTTCAATTCTTCCCAACAGTTTTCTTCGTATTTATATATTAAATTCATTATCTATTTTTTCTAATTTATATAACTCTTCGATATTTATTAAGAAATGTTATATAAATATTATCGTTAATCTATCCAGCTAGCTGGCTTGTTTTTTGGTTATGTACGTCACATATAAGATAAAATCACGTGGCACGAGGCAATTTGAATAGATCTCTCCTGCGTTCGGAAATATCATCCGGGTGTCCCTGTGTATCTTATCCTTATTTAACATTGGATGAACAACTAGGATAAAACGATACACGGGGGCACTCGAGTGATATTTCTGAACGCACCCCAGTGATGGTATAGAGGCCGTTTTTCTAGCGCACACACCAACAACGTATGTCACGTCGTATACTCCTATGTTGGATGTAATGCGGGGTCTACAATAGAAGTCGTAGTAGTCGTAGGGTCTTAAGTCGTAGAAAATTGACCAATCACAGTATTTTCTACGACTTAAGACCCTACGACTGCTACGACTTCTATTGTAGACCCCGCATAAAAGTTTTGTTTTGATGGGCTCAGGAGATTAAGGAGATTGACAAGAGATCAATTTAATTAATGTGTATAACGGATCCTAAATATTGCAAAAGGAGTTATTAAAAAACAAATGTTGATACTATATGTAATATATATATATATATTTCTCCAAAGTTAAATATTTTATTTTATATTGATATAATATGTTTGAAAAACATATTGTTGTTTTCTCCTCTTTCAACTTGATCGTAGCGTCAAATTTGTATTAAAGATATTATTTTTATTCGAAAAAAAAAAAAAATTAAATTCGCTGCGCAATGACACTCCATTTTTCATTTAAACGGAAATATAGATTAAATATTTTAATCTATCGAGAAAACGATTTCCAACAGATTGTGATAAGTAGGGCAATTTTTATGATAATAAATATGCTACAGCATTTTTGCTTATTTGCGCAAGCAACCGTGGTTCACATAATGCCTTTAAGTTGCTCTAAAAGAAATCACTATTGTCCTAATGAAAATAACATGACGACAATTGAGGGAAACTTGTACTAACAATAAATATTTATTTTCTTTTTTATACCAAGAAACATTTTGTTATCTGGGTAGTTGCTTGATATAAGTTTCCCTTCAGTTGCCATCACGTTGCTGTCACCGGCACAATAGTAATTTCGTTAGGCAACCTAAAGGCATTATACGGACAATAGTTGCCTACGTAAACGAGCGGAAATGCGGTAGCAGACTTATTGCCATAGAAGTTGTCTGCACAATATGTTGGATCCAAAATATTTAGTTCACATTATAAAAAAAGTCTTGTTGCATTAATTGGAATTCTAGTAAATTCAATCAGACAAGTACAATATATAGTTAGAGTTATCAAACATTCTAGTCAAAATAACCAAAAATTCAGTTACAATAATCAGAAAACTGATTCATATGATCAGAATTTGTTTTGTTTGTACTTCTTGTTGATTACAACAAAAATATTTTTCTCGGTGTATTTCCATTCAGTTGATGGAAATATTGACTACAAATGTTTTACGAAAACGGTTTCCAACAGATTGTGTGGCAACTTCTCTAGCAATAAATATGCTAAAATATTTCCACTCGTTTATGCAACCGTTTGTGCAGGTAATTGTTGTCCACATAATGCTTTAGTATACCTTAATGAAATTGCTATTATCCTGATGATAATATGATGGCAATTAAAGGGAAATTTATACCAAGCAACTATTTCCATTCTTACGAACGTTTGGTTAGCTGGGTTTTCTTTTTTATAGCTTTGTGCTATAGATTTGTAATACTTTAATAGTAATATATTAACGCACAACAAGATGTATAAATATGTGTATTACAATACGAAATATCTGTATTTTAATTTGTACATCGATGAACAAAGTTTTTGCGCATTACATGTATGAAATTAGTAAAAATGCAATTTTATTATATATCATTTTTTAAATTCTATTTATAACATTATTATTAAATAATATATAATATATAATATATAATAAATTTGATAAATTTATATTTTGAAGTATATATATATA